CTGGCCCAGCCTCTCCACTGAGAAATATCACCTTTACTAGGGGAGCATCCCTCACCCTGCCCCCGCCCTCCGCCCCCATCTTCGTTCCTCTGGGCCCAGCTCTCTGGCCCTGGAGTTGTCAGTAGGGAAGCTCCTTTCTGGCCCTGGGCTCTGGCTCTTTGGCTTAGAGCCAGCCAGCATCTCCTTCCCCTGCTCTGCTTGCATTCAGCCCTCCAGCCCTGACTTTCTAGGTTGGGGACACCAGCCATCAAACCCCTCGTGTCTGCCTGCAGCTTTTTCCCAGGCCCAATACAGCTTCCAGCAGCTCTCACTTGCCTCTTATTCCCACTCAAGGTCTCTTCCTTGTCTCTGTCCTCCCTGGTCCTTTGTAGCCCCAGTGGTGCCCTGTTCTCTTACCTGGCCAAATGGGAACATTTATCCAGGCACCAGAGAGATGAACTTTCTTCTAACCAGTGCCTAGTCACCCTGTGGCACAGCTAATCCCAGGATGCTAGAGCCAGTCATGGCGTGTCCAGAAGTCTCCTCCACCCCCACTTGGCTAGAGAGCTGAGAAAAAGGGCATCCAATCAAAATGAGCAAGGCAACCCAATAAGGCATGTGGAGACTGCTGCAGAAAATGCTTCCTTGTTGTTACACAAGTACAGATCCAGGTCATTAATTTCTCCTTCTAGGCGAAGCGGTTCACCTCGCCCGGGATTTCGGCTATGTGTGTGAAACAGAATTCCCAGCGAAGGCAGCAGCAGAATACCTGTGCCGTCAGCACTCTGATCCCAGCGAGCTCCACACCCGGAAAAACATGCTTCTGGCTACCAAGTGAGTATGCATCCCCTTGTGCTAGGCACCGTATCTCCATAGCACAGAAAGGCTGGCCCTGGCCCAAAGAGCTTCCAGCCTCGCAAGAAGGATGGCCCTGTGGTACGGTGCTGCCAATGCTCCTATCTGAAGGATTCACAACACAGTGAAATGCAGCATGCGTTCACATCCGAAGGACAACCGTGAACATTCAAAGGGCATGCTCATTGGTAGGGCCCACATTTGGCTTGTGTGTGCCTTGCATGATGTCACACATCAGGAGCAACAAACCTGAGTCCACGTCACAGGACACTTTCCTCTTTTTTTTGGTTGCTGGATTGTAATGGTTATGTTTTAAGCTATCTGTCTTAAGACTGAGGTTTTTCAGCTTAGAAAAGAGACTAAGGGGGGGATGTGATAGTGGTCTATAAAATCATGACGGCGTGAAAAAGGTGAATAAAGAAGAGTTATTTACTCCTTTCCATAACACAAGAACTAGGTGTCACCAAATAAAATTAGTAGGCACCAGGTTTAAAACAAACCAAAGGAAGTATTTCTTCATGCAATGCACACTCAATCTGCAGAACTCCATGCCAGAGGATGTTATGAAAGCCAAGATTATAACAGGATTGAAAAAGGAGCTAGATAAATTCAGGGAGGAGAGGTCCATCATTGGCTATTAGCTAGGATGGACAGGGATGGTGTCCCCCACCTCGGTCAGAAGCTGGGAATGGATAACAGGAGATGGATCATTTGATGATTACCTGTTTGTTCATTCCCTATTGGGCACCTGGCATTGGCCACTGTTGGAAGACAGACTAGTGGAGCAGATGGACCTTTGGTCTGACCCAGTAGGGCAGTTATGTTCTTATGTTTTCCAGAGGTGTTCTACTCTGATCAGACACTCAAAAATATCTTCACAGGATTCCCTGCTTCTTGGGATGCAGAGACTTTCAGATCAGTTTGCTTAGTTTGCAAGCAAAAGAGGGTTTTATTTAATTGCCAGCCTTGCAAACACAGCCTGGGATCTGAGCTTCAAGCCAGGTTCTTTCCTTCTTGGACATCATTGCTAATCATAAAGATTTTGCAGGCTACATTACGCCCTAAGTAATACCCCACTGCCCTCAAATTCTGCCCTCAGTGACACTTGGGCAAACATGATTTTTACTGGGCCTTCATAATGATGCACAGAGAATTGACTCTGAGACCCAACAAACTCCTCTCAGCCAGGCTAGCAAAGAGCTATCCAATGGAAATGACCTTCAGTCCAGTTCAGGGCTGGATTCAGACCAGTGTCCTGGAAGGGAGACATTTAGAGACTCTTGGCTCAGCCAGGCCCCCACGGTTAACACATTAAATGAGTTACAGAAACAGAGCACAAAAAAGGAATCGTCAAACAGAAATGTAGGACCATAGATTTCCAGCCTCTCTAAAAATGTAATGGCTTCTTTTCTCTTATAGGCAAATTTGTAAAGAGTTTGCAGACTTGATGGCCCAGGATCGTTCTCCGCTTGGGAACAGCCGCCCATCTCTCATCTTAGAACCAGGTGTCCAGAGCTGCTTGACTCATTTCAGCCTGATAACCCACGGCTTCGGAGGCCCAGCCATCTGTGCAGCACTCACAGCCTTCCAGAACTACCTGGTGGAGTCCCTCAAGGGGTTGGATAAAATGTTCATGAACAGCACAGGGAACGGGCATGCGGCTGGAGACTCCAAAGTGTCAGAGAAAGAAGTGAAGCATCGGAAATAACATGCTGTCTGTCTCCCTCTCCCTCTCCACTGGAGGGAGCTCTTCCCAGCTCATGATAGGAGATCTGATCTTACTGGTGTTGGAAAAAAAAATATTAAGACCCAGTGCAAGATGTTTCCCGAACTACAATATTTGAACTTGGGACGCAACTTTTAAAGCAAACAAATAAGAGGACTTAAAATTTAAGAAGAACTTTAATGGACATCACTGAGATCGAGAGAATAAGACAGGTTGATGGCTTTTGTTTATTTTAATTGTGGATGCAGGAAGCCAAGTCATGTGCAATTTTATTTTATTTTGTTTTCTTAACCCACAACAAAATACTGACGTGCTCCAGGAGTCCGTTCAACTCGAAGAACTGAAAAATCAGCAGAGAGGAAAGGCCTCAGCCACTCGAGATCTTTTTGAAACCGAGGCAGAAATCAGATGGGGCATCTTTTTGGGTTGCAGGCCAGATCTGGATGTATAACCTGCCTTCAACAGGCAGAGAGGGAATCTTCCAAGGATACCACCTAAACAACAGTCCTACACCCCAGACAAGAGGAATATCTCCAGCCTTGCTGCCTTGATTTTCAAGTGGTTTCAAGACTTTGTTTACAGTTTGCAACAAACTGACACTCACTACGGATTTTCTGCGGGGCCTATGGAACCCTGAGCCATGTCATGAGAACAATCTGACACTCGGACGTCTTTCCAAGATGGGAATTGATCAGTGAGAGCCTTCTGGAATGTTGCATTCAAGCCAAGGGGGTCGAGTAGTTTAAGTTACACCTGGGACTAAATAAAACTCCATGACCTACGAATAACAGCACACAAGTTTCTAAAATTAATAATAATAATAATGAATAAAGCACAAGGAGCAGAACTTGAACCAGGCCAAATTGACTGAACTGAACTGTTCTAAATCTGTACATATTTATTTATGTGTAATTAAATCTGAAAGTTTTAAAATGTCCAGTGCAAGTTATTTATATCTAATTGAGTTTGGGATTTTTTTGTTTTGAAAGAGGAAAATCTCTGGATTTTCTGCCATTAGAAATGGGAATGAAATTTTGGAGTCACAAAACTGTAGCATGGACAACAGGCTGTGATGCTAATGACTATAGAAGTTCTGCAGGGTTTTGTACTTGCTGTCGTTTCTCTTAAAGCTGCAATCGATGTACAACACACCACACCACAGTGTCATTCTCATTATCTTAATAAACCTCTTTTTATTTGAAGAAAACACCTCCGTGTTCTCTGTGACACTCATATTCTTCTGGTTCTGTGGCTGCCAACAGGAAAAGTTCTATACATTCACAGGGGTGGGGGAAGTCCAAAGCCCCCTTTTGTTTTATTTGTGTAGCTGCCATTAGACTGAAATAAAATATGGATTAATAGAAATGAGCTGAGAGTTACTGGAGCTAGGATTTGTGCCTTGCTCCCGCAAAGAGATGTACTTTGGGCAGGCCCCCTACAAGAGCACAGAGCCAGTTGCAGGATTAGAGTCTTTGATTTTACTGAAGACAATAGAGCAGAGAGGGGTTTACAAAATTAGGACTTGGATCCAAATTTTCAATCCTCTCCATGTTCTGGGATGTTTGGAGCCAAGAAACAAAGACCACTGTGAAGTTCTGACTGGAATTGGGATTCAGATCTTACACACCTGCAAAGTTCTAGGGTGTTTGGGTCTTGAGTTTTGGCTCAAGTGTCTTAGTTCAGGCCAGTGTCTGCTTTATATCATCTTCCTTTGGGACTATAGCAGAGGCTGATGGAAAAACAGAAATGCTCAAATGATCCTGACATAAGTGCCCTTGAAAGGGAGATGTTTGGCAATTTAAAAGGGAACCTAGAATTTTGTATATTGAAATACTATAGTGCCGGGCCAAAACTGGAACCATTTATCCAAATCTTCATCCCTCCAAAATGGAAACCAGAGCAAAACCAGCACTGAGTTTGGAGTCTTCAAAAAATATCCCTACCCCTCATGGCTCTGCAAAACCAAGAGTCCTGACCTTGCCCCATTTTTAGTATCATCTTGTGCGTGTGAAGAGGGAGAACTTCAGAACAGGGAATATATAAGAACTGGTTGAGGGAGGGGATTGGGGGTTCTGGAGATCCATCTGCTGTCCGACATCCGAACAATATACTGTAACATGGATGCTGATATATAATTATAATCTCTAAACATGCAAAGGTGAGTTCAGGGGATTGAGAAGACATTTCAGAGTCATAGTTATACAGGCTTGTGTGAACAGACCACTCTTTGCATAAACCAATTAATTCTTTGATATGACAGTGATGGTGAATGTTCTTGAAATGCAACAGAAACATTCTTAGCATGAGCATCAGGGAATATGCACAGTAATGTATTCAGTTTGTTGGGGAGCAAAACCACCTCCTCCACTGCTTTCCCCTTTGGGCTGCTGGTGAATCCCTTGAAAATTTAACGAGCCAAGGCCTGGCTCAGGTGGGAAATACTTCCCTGTAAAGTGCGTGGGAGGTTACAGGCTCTGCCCCAGGCTTCTGGCTGCCTTTGGGCAAATCACACATGGTCTGGTTTTCAGAAGCACCCAAATCTACATTTTCAAAAGGGACCAGTGATTTTGGGTGCCCTGCTTGTCACCTAAAAAGAGCCTGGTTTGCAAAAGACAGGTGTACGGCATTGTCTTCAAAAAGGGGCTTAAGATGTCCACAAGTTGGACACTCAGAAATGGAGGCACCTAAAATAAATAACTGCTTGTGAAAAGTCAGCTGAGTCCCACAATGGCAGCAGAAATCAATGGGAAAGGCTGGTGCTAAAGCCTCTGAAAAATCTGGCTCATAACATTTCTGTGCTGCAGGAGCACATCAGGAAACTGGGTGTAATAATACCCCTAAGTCTGTTTGGAGGTGAATGGGGGGGGGGCGGTCAGAATAAACCCATAAATATTTGGTGCTGGGGCCATATAAATACCTAGATACACAGAAAATACTCTTTTAAACTCAATTGATCACCACCGAAGAGAAGATTAGTCTCAGGCCTTTCCCTTGTGCTATTATATCTTGCTAATAAAATCAAGGTGTACACCCCAAAACACAAGACAGTGGGGCACTTGTTAGCTTCTCTCTTTTTGCTTCACTCCATCTGCTTGTCTTTCCCAAGCAGGTGCAGCAGATCAGAGCAACCCAACACATATGTATTTGTTAGGAGGATGCTATTTACTCAATGTCCTATTAGTACTAGCATTCACTTGTCAGGACCTTTCTGTAGGGCCCCCACGGTTATTTTCTCCTTTTTCCGATTCCAAGCAGCCAGGAGGATCCTTTCCACAATTCAGCCCCTCCCCCTATAAGTTCCCAGACTGATGAGATGTATCAACGTGGGAAAATATGTGACATTACTGTTGGCAAAGTGTATTTCAAAATAGATCCAAGCTTATGATTTCCATCAGTTATAGGACACGTTGGAATTTCAATCTAAAATCTTGTTTAGATTAATTTTGTAGAAATAACAAATCTAGGAAAACCACAAGACAATCTCTGACATGAACAGTGGAAAAACATATAGACTAAGACTCTAAGTTCCCTAACACGGAGATATCCCCAGGGTAAATTATGATTAACATTGAAATACGACTATGTTATTATTAACATAAAAGAAGAGGCGATAGTTATGTGTTGCTATTCTGCATGGCTTTGAATAGTATGAATAAGTCATCTTAATAGACTACCTTAAAAATGACAGGATGGTAATCTCTCTGTAGTACACCAACACAATAAATACACTTTTGCAAGTTGCTGACTTGTGCCTGGTGTGTTCTTTCATTTATGAGAGCACCTTTAAAGTTCCAGTTTAACAGAACATAAAGAAGTCACATAATCAATAATCAATGGGAGTCTTTCAACTGACTTTAATGGGATTTGAATCAGACATGGGGATTAAAAAAAAAAGGGGAGGGAGGGGAATTCACCTTCAAATCCACAGAGTGAAATTGCAGAAACAAACTTCTCTTTGCAGTGGTAGTAAAATCCTCAGATATAATCAATAAGCTCTGGGAAAGTAATTGAAAGAGGATGCCTAAACAGTAACATTCTAGTCAGAGCCCCACTTCTATTTTATTTGTTCCTGACCCAGATTTTGAGAGAACCAAATCTGGACCACCCTATTATTACATAGGATCAAAATCCTTTGGGGGAGTTTAGTTTTTAGAATGCTTTTTGGGGGGAGAGGGTTAGATTTTTTAGATTTTATGACCAAGACAGACCATTATGATCATCTAGTCCAGTGTTTCTTAAACTTTTTAAGACCAAGGAACACCAGACAACATTTTTTTTTTAAAAAAAAAAAAAAAAGCTGCAGGAAAAAGGGCGGGGGGGAAAAAAAAAAAAAAAAAAAAAAAAAAAAGTTGCCTGCCCCTTTAAGGGTGGCCATTTTGAATTCTATTGTTCACGGGAACACAGTTTAAGAAACACTGATCTAGTCTGACTTCATACATAACTCAAAAATTATCACTTGGGCCACCAGGGGCTTTTAGTGCCATAAATGAGAGTAATGTCTTTAAATCAACCCCTAAACTTTATCCCTCCACCAGTAATACAGCATTTACCACATCTGAACTGATGACCTCTGGCACTGAGCTAGCGAGTCATTTAGGCCTTGTTTACACTGGTATGTTTTGTTGCCAAAAGGCATTTTTTGGCAACAAAACAGAGAGCGTGTTTATACTGCAATGTGACTTTTGTTGGGAAAACACCCAGTTTTGGTGACAAAAACTTCCAGCCCTGCAAGAGACTTTTGTCTTTTCCCCTCCCTTTATTGTTGACAAAGAGCCAGTGTGAACTCCGCTGTTTGTTTTGTCGACAGAATTGGCTTCTGCTGGTATCCCACAATGCATGTGCTCAGTATTTTGTGATCTCTGCCCTGCAGGCATGTGCTCCTCTCCTTTCACAGTTCCTGGAAGTATCTGAGAGCTGAGTGAGCTGCTCCACTGGGGAAAAAACAAAGAGCAAATAATTGGAATGCACCTGTTCTGCCCTGCTAGGAACACAGCAGCAGGCAGACTGCTTACCCACAATGCTTTGCCCTAACAGTCAACAGAATGCTATGAAATGTCAACAATGGGAGGCAAAAAAACCAGTTTGACCAGTTCTCACTTTTGCATGTCGACAGCACTTTTGTGGCTAAAGCTTCTGAGTGTAGAAATAACTTCAATGGTACATAGTCATCCAACCAGAGTGGATAAGAACAGCCATACTGGGTCAGGCCAAAGATCCATCTACCTCAGTATCCCAAATTCCAAAAGTGGCCAGTGCCAACTGCCCCAGAGGGAGTGAACAGAACAGGCAATCATCAAGTGATCCGTCCTCTGTCATCCATTTCCAGCTTCTGACAAATAGAGAATAGGGACTCCATTCCTACCCATCCTAATGGCCAGTGATTGACTTATCCTCCATGAATTTATCTAGTTCTTTTTCGATGCCTGTACTTCACAGCATCCTTTGGCAAGTAGTTCCACAGGTTGACTGTGCACTGTGTGAAATACTTCCTTTTGTTTGTTTTAAACTTGCAACCTATTAATTTTATTTGGTGACCCCTAGTTCTTGTGTTATAGGAAGGCGTGAATGACTGTTCTTTATTCACTTTTTCCACACTAGTAATGATTTTACAGACCTCTGTCATATTATCCCCTCCTTTAGGATGTGTTCAGTGAAGCTCCTTACGGTTATACTGAGCCTTAGCATATTTATTCTGATGTCCCCAGAGTATGTTTCTGCTTGACCTTTCCTAGAAAGCAGAAGTCTGAAGACATAGCCTGGAATATAGATGTGTTCCCCTAAAATGACCTTCAGTTTAGTAACAGAGGGCATAGCAGACATCATATAAAAAAGCCTGTTTGAATGCAGATAATGATCCATTCTCTTTTGATGGTAGGGCTGAGGTTAGGGAAGATCAAAATATTGCTCAAATTCAAACAGGTAGTAACTATAATATACCCAGATGAGTTCTGATCTTGTGCCCCTCTTACTGGGACCCTACAGGAACAAGTTGTATATTATCTGGGATTTCCTTGGGTATGTAGTTCTATTTTTTTAGCGAGCCTTCTACTGCACAGTGTGAACCTGACTAGGGAATCTTCAAGGGGCACAGTTTCCTTGCCCTTACTCAGTACTCTAGTGACCCATATTCTGCAAAAAGATAGGATGGCTTCTCTACCAAATTTTTTCATGTCCAAAATTTCAGCTGACATGCTTACTCGGG